CATCATCTTCATCATCATCATCCTCATCATCACATGTTTCTTACATGTTGACATCCTAAGAGGACAAGGACTTTGGTACCAAGACTTCAGATCTTATAATTAAAACTGTGAGTTAGGCTTCTAAAGTTCTAGTCCTAGTGATTTTTATTAGCGGTTTTCAGCTAGTCTTCCTAACTTCCTTTGAGCCATAGCCGCCTTCTTGGTTGACGTTAATAAAACATTTCTCGTTAGCTTCTCTTGTTAGATAAACCAACATGGCGGTTGTTTCATTGTTAATTATACTCTCAAGAGAAGACATGCGGTTGCACACTGAATCTCTACCTGTGTGTATTCTGTTAGATTATAAAGAGTTTTTCAGATATTCTCTGTCAGACATACAGGAAGTTTTGACTCCCGTTTGACGTAGTTTTACCATGTTTTTGTTTTTTAAGATGAGTATCCAAGAATAGCAAACATTCGGCAAACATCACGAAAGCACTAAGAGGCTGGAAGTGCCGCAGGAGAAAAAGAAAAAGAACTGGTTAAAGCGTGTAAATTCTGGGGTCCAGTATTTGCTTTCGACAAGTTTTACCGCGTTTTTTTCCTTGTTTAGATACGAGATGATTTATTAAAATTAGAACTCAGAAACCAAAAAAGAAATTTGACTCAGATCAAAAAAATTGAAAAGACAAATGGAAACGTTGTCTTTTTGATACGAAAAACAACGGCAAAAGAAGAATTCACCTGTGTGAACACAGTAAAAACTAGATAAAGAAATTAATGTGTTCTGCAGAACTTAAACATTTGATATAGATCTATCTAGAAACCCGAGATGGAATATCCGGCCACTGAAGTCTATGCTTTCAACCAGCCAAAGTGCTTGTTCGAATATACATAGTTCTAACAGGCAACGTGTGAGGCAGGTCTAAATTGAATTTCACCAGCCATAGTCATCATATGAATGCCTGAATGTCTATGCCTAATGTCTGTAATGTCGTATCATTGAAAATTTGGTTATAAAAGGATAGTCATCAATATTTACTACTAGACTGTCTCTTCGAGTCTTTTTTTGATGGGTCCGCCCGCAGGCTACCATGGTSAAACATCTATTCTATCCCAAGGCGATGAACCGAGTTGAAATTGATTATCATAGCAGCTTAACAGTTTTAGGTTTGCCGGATAAGGTATCGTACTTTGACTAGAATTATAGACAAAACAACTGCTTAAGTCAGGTCTTAACAATAAAACATTTTATAATTGATTCTAACTAACCACTTGCAAAGGAAACTTTTCTCCATGGATTTCTTCTGTTGGTCAATGTACGTATGATTAATGAATAAGAAACGAATAATGACTTTATTAATTAGGATTAAAACACGTTCCAGTTACTCGGGGTTACTGATAAACTTATGGGTCTTAAGGACGTTCCCGTGCAAATACGAAGTAAATTTCAATTTTCTGAAACTTTGTCAATCAATAAAACAATTTTTTTAATGTAACTCGTGTCTCGCTGGGTCACTGGTGTTCTATTTTCGTATGGCAGTGTTCTTGCAAGTACGTGTACATAATTTTTATTATAYATTAGCTATATTATTTTATCTATCTATTTTTAGACTTGAGGGCCACAGAGTTATCAGTGTTTCTAACTACTGTCATGTGTTTACCCTCTGGAAATAAAGCCTATTGTTACTATTAATATCCTGAAGATCCTGAAGATGACGGCACATATCGTGAGCTACGTGTCATCAAGTGGCAAAACAAATAACAGTTCAGGTGAAAAACTTATGAATCATAATGAAAACGGTATTAGAATGTATTTGCGTAAATAATAAAATGGATTTTTTCCTATAAGGCTTTGAAAGTAACATTGCTTTTTGATGGAGAAACGAAGAGTACACCTCGAAAAAACTGTCGCTTTTTCTCGTTCTCGCGGGTTGACATGAAACAGAAAATATCGCGTTTCCGCTAAAATATCGTAATTGTTATTTTAAAAAAACTAAGTGAACTCAAATCATTTTTATTTAAATATATGAAATGATAAATGGAACTGCAGGTCACCGTTCATCTTGATAGAAGGTATTAACATTTGAAGAAACAAAAACTTGTTTTCTTGATATTTGGTCCATTATCGAAGGAATGACCTCATTATAATGACCGCRGGTGCACTTAACACATGCGTAGACTGAACTAAAAAACTGCAAAAACGTGCTGCCAGGGTGATTACTAAAAGCAATTATGAAACTAGCTCAACCACTCTTCATCGGGCCTTACAATGGGATAGTCTTCATACACGCCGGATAAAGCTCAAGGCAATAACCATGTTTAAAGCAATGCATGAGATTATTCCAGTGTACTTAAAGAAGATATATTTCTACCTCGCAGGACGACTTACAACTTACGTGACCAAGAAAACAAACTTTACATTCCCAAACCACGTACTGATTATTTATAACGTGCATTCAGTTACAGTGGTGCTAAATTATGGAATGACTTACCCTAGGAAATAACAAAATCTGGTTCATTAGCTAGTTTTAAAAGTAAATTGAACCAGGTTTCTTTTTGAATATTAGTTCCCACACGGCAATCATATAAAACAGTAACTATCACGTGAATGTATTTTCTTTTTGAGATTGAATGATGATTTATTCCGTGTTTAAATAAAGTATGTATGTATGTATCATTACATGTAAGTAGAGCTTGATAGTTGTAGGTTAGTCACACCCTTGAGTCGGGGGATTTTTTTCAGCATTTCCGTTTTTTTTTACCTCCAGGAAACCACACAAAACATACTAAATTCCCATTCGATCTTGTGAGTAAGCCGTGCACTAACTTAGATTATAACATAGCCACAATATTATAACGCACGATCTGATTGGCTAATTAGATGCGCAAGCGTGTATCAAAAAATCGATGTGCGCGCTGACGTGAATCATCGTGCGCTATGTTATTTATTCGTTATCATGCTTTCAACTAGGTTCCGGTGCACTTTGGCCGGTTGCTCATAAGTACTCAATAAGCTATAGTCACACTCGGCTACACCCTCGTGCGACTCGTACGCTTCCTTCGTGCTTAATAACCTGCCGCGTAATCTCAATAGTCGATGGAAGCACGCTAATCAATGACCCATCCTTAGTTAACCTACAGATTACGATATTGTCTCTCCAAGATAACCCTTCCTTTGCAATGTCTCTTCTGTCATACTTTTATACCTTTTTACCCATTGAAATATAAATAGAGCCCGTGTTTCTTTGGGTCTCACATGTGTTACACCGGCCCATCATGCAATTCGCGTATAACTGCTTGGTAATAATGAATGAGAAGACTAGATCATAAGTGTAGTAGATTCAATATTTCACCTTTTCGCGCCATATGTTGTCTAGGAGACAAGTTCTCAGTAATAGTTGAATATTTGAATTCTGAGATACATGACCCTCTACGTGACCCTCCATACTTACCTACTTTTATTTACAAGTGTGGTTCAAATATCAACGAAAGAACGAACGAACGAACGAACGAACGAACGAACGAACGGAAAGTAAGTATAGTAAGTCGATAAAGTAGAAGAAAAATATAGTCTAATCAAATCTAGAAAGATTATAAATGACCTTAGACCCTAGTCCTTAACTTAGTCTTAACATAAACCCCCCTCCCGTCCCCTTCCCCCGAAAAAAAGAAATATTATATAAAATCTAAGATTCATTAAAAAGAGCTTTCTTAAAGTCTTTAAGCTTAGTAATGTTTCTCGTAGGTACGATCAATGTGATCATAGAACGTAAAGAATGAATGGTTTATATTTTTGAAGCACTTACTTTCTTGTGTTGAATTCATAACAGCTAATCTTCTGAGAGTTTCGTTCTCTTGTTCCAGGGTCTTATTAATTTCCAGTAATACTTGTTTCTCAGCTTCTAGGATCTCAAGTCTTGCATTGTACAGCTTGTGAATAGGTCTAATACTATTTTTTCTTGATCTGAGATATCCAAACTTTTCATCTTTAGTGCTTGTCAGCTGTCTTAAGGTTGAGTTCTTTCTATTGCTTGTTCTTTCTTCAGCAAAGTACTTTTCTGAAGACTTCGTATTCTCCCTGTCGTTCTTATTTTCGTAAAGTTACATAAATAAAAAAATAACTTACTGCTATTTCAAGAAAGAAAAGGGCGTGGAAGGTTTTGTTGCATGTTGCGTGTCGCATGTGGCATGTTGCACGTTGCATGTTGTACGTTGCATGTTGTACGTTGCATGTTGTACGTTGCATGTTGTACGTTGCATGTTGCATGTTGCATGTTGCGTATCGCATGTTGCATGTTGCACGTTGCACGTTGCATGTT